ATCTTGAGAGTTGAGAGGGAAAAAACAAAATTCAACCAGCTAATTTACTTGTCTCTTTTGTATTTGTTTCTATTCAATTTCCCTTTTTTCCCTGTTCACATTCACTTTTTTTCTTTGTTCTCATGTTGCAATTTTCTATGTGCTTTAAATTTGTTTTGTTCTTTTTAGAATTGTTTCTTTCTTTGCATGTCCTTTTCCTAACTTTCTTTATTCTTATCTAGTCTTTGCAAATCCTCATCCTAAATCTAATTGCTGAAATTTCATCATAAAAGTTAATGAATTTTTATCAGAAATAATGTACTGCATTAAACAGTAGCCCCCCAAATAAGAATCGGATTGAACTGTTTTAGTGATAAAATTGAACCAACTACAGTAAGCACATTTGCCTTTATCTCGTTTGAGTTAATGAACCTGTGCTGAAGTACAACTATAATTATTAGTTTTTCCAAGCATCTGAGAAATTATCAATTTAAAATAAGTAATAAGGGAATCTTTACTTAAAACAAGAAAGCCATCAAGAACTAAAAGTTAATTCACACTTAAAATACAAAATAGTTTATAAACAACTCATTTTTTGAAAGTGATGTGATATTCTGATAATTTCCAGCCTTAGGTAAAGTGTTGCATCCTGGAAGTAACTATTCAATCAGTTCCATGACATTGCTAATTTAACCTATCTGGTAGTTATTTAGTTTAGTTCTGAGTGCCAACATATTTAAAGGTGTCACCTACAGAGGTAAATAATCATCAGAATAAAAAGAAAAATGAAAAAAAAAAAGAAGAAGGCAGGAATAAATACAAAAAAATAAACACATATGCCAGGCTGTGGCCCAGTATTACCCACAATAACCAATCAATGCCTTGAGGTAGCAACTAAATTGTCTAGTCCTGCTTTATGGCAAATAACACTGGCTAGCAAAAATAGGTAATGCCTTTTTTAAATCTTTTAATATACTGTTATTATCAGTTTCTATTTTTTTTTTTTCTTCCTCCACAAGGGAAATTTTATTGATGGCTCTAGTTTATTCCCTCCCAAAAGACCAACTGTAACCAAATTAAGTGAACATCACCTCAAGATTTTATTGTCTTTATAATAAAACAAATGATGAAGCTTAGAACTGGATCACTTGGCCCTTTCTCTTCTTACCTCCTCCCAGTTCAAAATGCTCACAACTCTCAATAGCCAGCATCCTCGTAGATCTGCAGTTAGATTCAACACACTCAAGTGTCAGCACAATCTTCATAGTTTTAACCTTTTTTCCAGAAAATCGGCTTTCCTGACCACCATAGCCACTCTGCTTCCTGTCATAACACCTCTTTCCCTGGACATACAAAGAATCCTTGCCCTTCTTATACTGTGTCACTTTGTGGGGTTGATGCTTGCCACACTTCTTACAGAATGTCCAGCACATTTTAGGAATGTTCACCATGTTTGCGCAAGAGCTATGGGCATGGAAAACAGTTTCTAGTTTTAATGGATATAAGCTGTACATATCATCACTAATATTCTTATCAGCAGTAAAAGGAATGATAACTGTACTATATTGTATTATTAATTTAGTCAACTCTCAGAAAGTAACTGAAATAAAAACAGTGGCTCAAGGATGGATAATTCAACTTATATTATTTCACTGGGCAACTAAGTTAAAATTCACAAGATTGTTTCATACTAATTTTATGCGGCAATTCTTGAGAAATCACATTAGCATTAAAGTTCATGTGAGTACATGATTTTCAAAGCAGTTTAAAATGATGAAAAGAGATTCAATTTCTGCAAATTATTCTAATTAACATTATTCTAGAAACAGTTAACTTACATCTTCAATGTGATAAGAAGAAACCAAATTAAGAATTTTAAAATATTTTCAAAAATAGGCTTGGCAAATCTGTTAACTAAAACTATAGAAGTGGTTGACTTCTACATCTAATGATTTTTTTT